CCCCAGCTCTACCTGTGCTCTAACCAGACATCAGCTCACAGATGGCCTTTGTTAGTGTCTCTGTCACCATCTTTATCCATCCATCTTCCCAGTTCAGAGAAAGATACTGATGAAAAAGACTAGTCCTGTGGTCATCTTCCTCTTCCCTGGTACCCTGACACACACTTCCTCTGTAGTTGACCCACAGTTGTCTAGGACAGAGGCACAGTGGAGGAATACAGGAAAGCAAAGGGCTGGTGATGAGGTTAAGTTTGGAAATGTGTCTAAGCTGTCCAATAAAACTTTCCGCAATGAGTGAAATGTCCTATACTGGCAGCGTTCAGTGTGGTAGCCACTAGCCACATGTGGCTCTTGAGCCCTTGAAATGTAGCTAGTGTGACTAAGGAACATGTGGCTAGTGACTACTGTATTAGACAGTACAGGAGGTATCCATGGCCAACCAAATGGAGCTCTCCAGCAGAGATGGGTCTATGGTCTGAGCTGCACAAAGCAGTTTAGTGGTAATCATACATGAGTAGTTGTTGAAACCATGGATATGAATGACGTTGTCCAAGTAATATATGTAGAGAGAAGAGGGCCAGGGCCTAATTCCAGGGAACAAGCAACATTTAATAGGCAAAGAAAGAGGAGTAAAAAGTGCTGAAATGATTTCTTGGGTCAGGTTTCCTAGAAGCAGACCCTGAGATGAGGATTTGTGTGCAAGTGATTTACTTAAAATGTGCTACCAGAAGAAACCAGTAAGAGTGGGAAAAGCAGGAGAGGAAACCAAGCATGTAAGCTCCGGCAGCTTGATCCCACAGGGGAGCTCTGGATGGTAAGTTATGCCTCAGGAAACAAGGGAACTGGGCCTTACATATACCAACATCACTCAGCTGTAGACCAAGGGTTGCCCCTGGAAGATGGCAATTCCAAGGCAAAGCCTCCAAAAGCCTCCAGTAGCCTGAGGGCATTCCTCAAACAAACAAACAAACAAACAAACAAACAAACAAACAAAGAAAAAGGAAAACCTCCTGGAAGTTCTATTAGAAACCACACACCAAGGACCAGGTGTGGGAGTATAGAGTGCATGTCTGGGGGAGGGGGTGGTAAGGGGTGGGGAATGGGCAAAAACAAATGATAAACAGAGATCCATGGTGCTGCTATAGTCTTCTATAGAAGACACTGATGACTACCATTGCTGAGTGACCTTGGTGAAAGTAATTTTAGGAAAGTGGTGTAAGCAGAAGCCAAATGGTAGAGGACTGAGGAATGAATGGAAGGTAAGTGGGAGAAGGGAGGAGAGCTGTCCTACACAGTTTGACCAAAAAGGAAAGGAAAGAGAGATGGTGGGTTGTAGTCTGAGAGGGAGGAATTATTTGCTTGTTGATATCCTGAGGGAGACCTAATTATGTCAGAAGTCTAAGGAGAAAGGAGCCAGTAGAAAAGATGGTACCTGAAGGAAGTGAGTTTTGGGGAGGTGGGAAGGATGGATCCAGGGCCCAGGTTCAGCCAAGGTACTAAGAAAGTGAGAAACACTTCTTCCTCAAAAACAGGGCATGTAATACTCAGGATGCTTTTGGCTACAATGGAAACTCCAATTTAAAGTTGGTTTAACATAAAGGGGGAGTTTGTTGGTTCACAAAATTGAAAAATCAAAGATAGAATGACTTCAGGCATGGCTAGAGCCAGAAGCTCAAACAATGTCTATTTGAACTTGGTTTCATTCCCTTAGCTCTGCTTTTTTTTCTGGACTATCTTCATTTTCAGGCAGGTTGTACCCTCATAGGTAGCAAGATGGCTGCCTGCAGCTGCAAGATTACCAGGTTAACAACCCTAGAAGAAAAAGATCATAGCTTTCCCAACCACTCCAACAAATGCAATAGGGTTGAATTTCATCAGCTCAGCTTGGGTCACCTAGTGAACATTTATTGTATAATAAAGAATTTGATCTTTGTCCCAAGGATTAAAAATGCTTGGTATTTCCAGAGTGATAGAAGTGTCTGTTATTCATGAGCCCCTTCTGAGTTTTTACTAATGAGGTGACTCATGGCAAGCCCCTAGATTATCTTCAGGATGGGGGCTGGTCTCCAGAAAGACCAATGTTGTGATACGAAGATTGGGATTTTGAGCCAGCTGAGCATCCGGGGAGGGGAGGAGGCCTGGAGATTGCCCTCAGTCACATGGTGATGATTTAATCAATCATGCCTAAGTAATGAAACCCCAATAAATACTCTGGATAGTGAAGCCCAATGGTGCTTCCTGGCTGGTGAATACATTGATGTTCGAGGGTGAAATGTTGATTCTATGGGGAGAGGGAATGGACGTTCTGCATTTGGAACCCCCAAACCTCACCCTCTAGGTCTCTTCATTTGGCTGTCCCTGACTTGTATCCTTGATTATAAAACTGTAATTGTAGCCCGACTAGTGTGGTTCAGTGGTTGAGCATCAACCTATGAACTAGGAGGGCACATGCCTGGGTTGTGGGCTCGATCCCCAGTAGGGGGCGTGCAAGAGGCAGCCAATCAGTGACTTCCTCATCATTGATGTTTCTCTCTCCCCCCCCATATCAATAAAAATGTATTTAAAAACAAACCCCCGCCTCCCCATAATTGTATAGTGCATTCCTGCATTGTGAGTTGTTCTAGAAAATTATCAAACCTGCGGGGGAGGGGGGGGTGCGGTGCATGGGAAACTACCAGATCTGTGGCTAGGGGACTCTACTTGCAGTTGGCATTTGCAGTGGGGGCAGTTTTGTCAAGGACTGAGCCCTCAACTTGTGGGTCTATGCTAACTTTGGGCAGGTAGCGCCAGGACTGAACTTCAGTACACCGGCTGGGGCTGAAACAATACTAACCCTGAACTTGTGACCAGGAGGGATAGATTATGCTGACTGGTAAACACGGGATCATGGACCCATCTGAGATTGGGATGGGCAGAAGATGGCAGAAGGTGACTCTTTAAAGGAAAACCAGGGTCTGACTGAAGGGAAAATAGCTGCTTGTGGAATTCTTTTAGAGGTCATCCTGACCCTCCCCCACCCCAAGAGAAGGGGACTTCTTGTATTTTGTCTTCTTTTCTGGGATGTCAAAGTCAGCCGTGGTGCTTTGCTCTGGCCCTCCTGGCTCTCCAAATCATACTCTGTTCTATCAGGACAGTTTGGCAGCCTAAAGCACTCCAGCTTTACTTAGGCTCTGCCTCTGAACCTACACACACCATTTCCCTCACTTCTGTCAATCTTCTTTCCTCCGGTTTCAGGCTTCAAAGTGTGTCTTCCTCCAGGAAGCCAGGCATGGCCAAACCACCTAGGCCACCTCTCAAGTGCCTTTTGTGTGACATTCACCAAGTGTTTTCAACTGGAGAGTCTCCAGTCACATCTGAGTGACATGAGTGTGATTAAAGTTCTGTGTTTGGAAGGGCATCCAGGTCCAGTATGGGGCTAGGGGGCTGAAAGGAGACTGTTGCAGTGGTCTGGGGAGGGTTGGTGCTGACCTGGCCAGGGTAGTGCAGTGGGTAAGTACCAAGGAGAATGTCCAGAGAGATTTCTGAGGAAGCACTGCCAGGCTGGCTGGTAGGGAAAAGAGTGAAGGATGTCCCTGAGCTTCCAAAGTCAGTTTAGTGACACTGAGGACAAAGCTCTGAGTCTAAATCATCAATTTGCCATTAAGTTGCTGGCCAGCCCAGTACTCATTTCAATTACACCAGACACCACCCTCTTTTTAGAAGTCAGAGTTACAAGAAATCTTAGAAATCATACAGTTTAACCTTGCCACTCCATCCCCATTTTAGAGATAACAGAGGCCCTCAGAGTTAGTGACTCGCCTTTATTTTTTAAATGAATGTGAATACACAATTTGCTTTCCATAGAAAACATCAGAACTTAACAAGCCCAACGCAAATGCGCAGCTGAAATGGTTCAGTACGTAATTCCTTCAACAAATACTTCTCCACCTGTAGGCACTGATCTTAGAGTAAAAATAAGTTCTTATTGTCATGAGCTGGTGAGACAGAAGAACCACCAAGCAAACTTTGTAATTTTGGATATTTAGGTGCCATGAGGAAAATGAAAGGGGACAACTGATAAAAGGATGACCTGAGGCTACTTTAGGTAGAAGAATTGACATCTGAGGTGGGGCCTGAATGAGGAGAAAGCACCAGCCACGGGGAAAGCTACAGGAAAAACACCCAAGACACTGAAGCAACTGTGGGATGTTTGCAGAACAGAAGGATGGCCAGCGTGGCTGTGAGGGAGAGGAAAACCATACTAGATGGGGTCAAAGAGGTAGCCAGGGGCCAGATAATGGAGGTCTGTGGGCCACAGGAGTTCAGATTTTTTAATAACAGCTTTATTGAGATATAATGTCCTTGCTGTACAATTCACCCATTTCAAGTAAAGAGTTTGGTTTTTATACTAAGTGTCATAAGGAGTCATTGAGGGGGATTAATTTCTCACCCACATTTTAAAGACTTGCGGCTGCTATATGGAGAATGGATTTGACAGGTATTGAGAATAAGAGCAGAAGCTGGGAGGCCCATTGGAGAATCCACAAGGTAACCTAGATGAGAGATGATCCCGGACTGAACCACAGTGTCCACAGTAGAGCTAGGGAGGTGCGGTCACATTCAGGATATATTTTGGAGAGAGAACCAGCAGGACTGGGTACTGGGTTAAGTGTAGAGTAAGGGGAAGAAGGGTGAGTAGTGATGCCGTTTATTAGATGTGTCAGGAGAGTGTGGAAGAGAACTGAGAACCTGTCTTAGATATGTTAACTCTGGGGCACCACATAGTGGCACCCTTCAGTTTGGAAGGCTCATTAATTCAAAGCAAACATTCACAGAGGACTGCAGTGGTCAGGCACAGAGGATATGGAAATAAAGGAAGCCCAGTCCTCGCCTACCCAAGTTACTTAGTCTCAAATAGGTGGAATATGTCTCAGAATACCAAGCACTATAAGAGAGTATCTGTTAGGACACATTTGGCTGCAAGTAACAGACAACTCTGACACAGTCTGGCTTAAACAATAAGCACACTGTCATTACACATCACAAGGAGTCCAGCCTTCTAAGGTCCTCTTCCCTTTGCTCTCTTCTGGATTGTGGCTGCACTATCACCTGGGAGAAAGATGGACACAGGAGTTCTAGGCTCCCCATCCAGACCCAGGAACACTCAGAGTCAGAAGGAGGTCCATTTCTTTGGTGTTTCCTTCTTAATGAGAAACCTTTCTTGGAAGCCCCCCCAAGCAGATCTCTTACTAATCACTGGCCCCAAAGAAGTTATACCCAACCTTAAACAAACCTCCTGGCAAGAAGAATAGGACCACCAGAAGTGGACCAGACCTGTCAGGATTTATTCCCAGAATGGGAAAAGGGCCACTCTGAACAGTATCAGAGCCCTGCCTACAGGAAGATAGAAAATGGCTGTTAAGCGGAAGCTCAAAGAGTCTGCCACATAGCACAACGAATGGGCTCCTGGAACACCCAGAAGGCCATGTGATTTCAAGAGCATCTTTTTTAAAGAGTTCAAGATTCTATACAAAGAACTTTTCTTTTTTTAACTATAATCACTTAAATGTTTGAGAGAAAAAATCTCTCTTTTTCCAAGCAAATTCACAGCCTCCTAAAGTCGTAATTGTTTTCGACTTCCTCTGTCCCCCACCGCCACTCCCACCTTTTCTACAGCAGCAAGTCTTCCTCTTCATTTAACACTGCTCACAAGCATTTTCACAGGCGGTTGGCAACCCTTGTCTCTGCAAGTCTGAACCCATTCCATCAGTATTTCACCTAGTGGCTGTGCCAAAATTTATGCTACCATATCCATGTACTGGGCATCTGTGTTCCTTCCACTCTTTCATATGATACTGGTCACAGGTCTAGCTGGGCACCTGGGGAAATTCTCTATCAGTCTTGCCCCCCAACATCAAAGTCAGAATACATCTCTAAGCCTGCTCTGATACAAACACACTGACATGTGATGATCTAGGTTTCTCCAATCAGATACATCCATGTGAGATTTTGAATTTGCCAGGCTTTGGGGGTGGGGGGTGGGGAAGAGGTCCCTTTCTTGATGTAGCAGTGGCATCAGTGCCACCAGCAGTAGCTGTTGCTGAGAAGTCTAAATCCCAGCATTTAGTGTTTGGTGGCAGTGGTGGTAGCAGCAGTTTTATCAGATCAGTTCTGGGCTTGGGAGATATTTCTCCAGCCCATCCCACAATTCTGTAAACTGCCTCATACCCTTAAACAAATCCCTCTTCCACTTAAGTCAGCCAATGTAAATTCCATCATCTGTAAATCAAGACTCCTATTACAGAGGATGCTACATCAACAGCTCTATAAAAACTTCTCTCCCTTTGGCCTTTCCTGAGCACTATTTCTCAAATCTCAGTTATTCATGTACCATCTTCCCCCAAATCTGCCATATATTCATATTGCCCATAATATTATCTACCAAATACTGTTTTTAAAATGGATTCATTTTTTTAAAGTATTTACTTATGCCAGTCTTTTTTCAACCTAATACACATTAAAATTAATACAGCATCACTAAAATTGAAAGCTTTAAGTTTCTTTAAGAATAAAGTTTACCATTCCCCCAAAAATCTCACAACTCACTAGTGGCCAATAGTGTGATAGGATAAATTTCCAGGAGTGGGGTGACCGAGGGACAAAAACCAACCTTTTATACTGTACCAGCCCCTTACTAAGCAGAGCTGATGGGCTGGAGAACCAGGAGGACAGAACTCTTGCAACTTCCTCATTTTATCTTAGTAAAATGACACTTAAATTATAGTACAGTGTAGTAGTTAAGAGCACACTTTGGAGTTCCGTTGTACTGGGTTCCTTAATCACCCAGATGCTCAGTTTTCTCACCTGTAAAATGGGGGAAATAACAGCTCCTACCACACAGGGCAACACTGGCAGTATTGACTGTGAACCAACATGAAGCATTTGTACAATGCCTGATCCATAATAAGCTCTGAGCTTAAGAAGAGTAAGTGTGTGTGTGTGTGTGTGTGTGTTTAATAAATAAATATGGTTTCCCTGTCTGTGCCCAGAAACCCTACTGAATCATAATTTCTAATGGCGGAGAATCAGGAAATCTTTTTGAAACAAACACAGTCAAGTCAATTGAGTCCTAGAATCTGATGAATTATGACAACATTAACCAGGGTTAAGTAAGCAGCCGCTATTACCATCCCAGGGTGATGAGATGATGGATGTGAAAGTTAAAGGTTGTATACTATTCTTGCACTCATTCAGTCAACAGACATCTATCTACTGAACACCCACTAGGTGCCCCACCCTGGGTTAGGTGCTGGGGACAAGCGGGAACAAGACTCAAGCTGCTCTTAAAGGTACCTGAGGCTGGCCCTCACCCTTTGTGTCATCAGTAAAATTGGGTGAGTGGGTAGAGCAACCAACCATCAAGGTAATTATTCTTTCGACTGCTGAGGGGCGACACGGGTGGACGGCAAAGCTTCGTCTGTACCCGCAGGCTGTGATCGAGGAGCGCAGGTATTCGGGTATTTGAGGGTTAAGGACGACCGATAGGCCCCAGGACCCCACTCCTGCCTCCTCCTCAGCTCATTTACTCTCCGAGCAGGATGTCAGGATCTCTCTATATGGTAGATATTACTACTGTAATCCCATTTTACAGATAAGAAAACAAAGGCTCAGCATTGAGAAGGGTCACACTTGAGCCCCACCCCCAAAAGGCGCCCAGGACCGTCTTCCTCAGCCTGGCTGCGGGGCCTCGTCCTACCTCCCGCTGCGGCACAAGGGCCGCCAGATCTCCCGTCAGACCCGCGCGGTGGGTCGGACTCCAGGGGTTCGGGTCCTGGACGTCCCTGAGCAGTCCGCGCCGAGGCCGCCAATGCTTAGCGGAGGTTGAGAGCCTCTCTCCGGACCCGGCCCAACCCTCCCTTACTCCTCCGCTAACTGCAAACAGCCCGCCGCTCTAGGAACCACCGGAGTCCACGAGTGTTCGGGGCGCTGGTGCATCATGGGACGCTCGCATCGCCCCCCAGCGCCGCCGGAAAGAACTGCGTGCCCCCTCCTCCTCCCGCGAGGCCCGAGTCCGTTACGGAAACCTCCGCCCCGGCGAACCAGCGCTCACCTTCCTTGACGTCTTCCGTCTGCGCCCGGAAGTCGACCGAGATGACCATAAAAATTGGTGGCTAGAGGCGCCCGGACTTGCCCTCCCGGTCCTCACTTCCGCCGGAAGTGACCTCCAGTCACAATTGCCCTCGCTGCAAGCGCGGGCATCTGTACCCGGTACTCGGGGTGTGAGTACGACCACAATGGCCGCCACCACCCTGCTGCGCGCGACGCCCCTCTTCAGCGGTGAGGGGGCGGGGAGGGCGATGGCGGTCCAGGCACACGTGGGGGTCGTCGGGTGAGGCAGAGCTCGCAACCGCGCCCTGACTCCACGCCTCTGCCCCAGCAGGTCTCGGTGCCGGCCCAACCCCACTACTGCAGGGCCTGTTGAGGCCGCTGAAATCCCCGGCACTGCCCCTCTTGTGCCGCGGCCTGGCCGTGGAGGCCAAGAAGACCTATGTGCGCGACAAGCCCCACGTGAACGTGGGTACCATCGGCCATGTGGACCACGGCAAGACCACGCTGACCGCGGCCATCACGAAAAGTAAGCCTGGTTGCAGAGGGGGCATCCAGCAGCGCCCGCTCTGCAGGCGGGACCTGGAACCAGGGAGGCGGCGCCCGCACAGTGGCTGCTGGAGGTGTTTAGTGTAGCCCCAGGAGCCAGAACTTCAGTCCATGGTGGGTTGGAAGATGCAGGAGACAGATGTCCCCTGAACATGAAGAACTTTATGATGCATAAATTGAAGGACCCTGAATGGCCTCCTTCTAGCCATAGGGACTACCCTGTAAGCAGAGGCTTTACCTTAAAAGCTGCTGAACAGGACCTTGAGGCCCTTTAACATTTCTTTCTGACTGGTTACTTCTGCAGGAGGAATTGAGAGAGGGTCCGTCCTCCCAGGCTGTCCGTTTAAGTGGGAGGTACTAGGGGTGTGGCCTGAGCCCTGCCTCTACCTCTGGAACTATATAGCTCAGAGTTGTGTTCAACACCCTCCCCCTTTAGTTTTAGCCGAGGGAGGTGGGGCCAAGTTTAAGAAGTATGAGGAGATTGACAATGCCCCGGAGGAACGAGCCCGTGGTATCACCATCAACGCAGCTCACGTGGAGTATAGCACTGCTGCCCGCCACTATGCCCACACAGACTGCCCGGGTCACGCAGATTATGTTAAGGTAAGAATTGCTGGGGACAGGGATAGGAGCTGCCTCCTGTCAGGAGGAATGTTAGGCTTGTGGGGAGGAAGTTAAGAGACTCAAGATGTATAGGTTTGAGATCATGGATTTGTGGGCATGGCCACTTAAAGTGGGTGGTGAGGAGATGGCAGAGAAAGGTGAACCTCTGTTCCTAACTGCTGTGCTTGGCTAGGTGGATGTGGAGCTGAGGTCACTGAACTAGGCTGTGTTTCGTCTTCCCCCTATACAGAATATGATCACAGGCACTGCCCCCCTTGATGGCTGCATCCTGGTGGTGGCAGCCAATGATGGCCCCATGCCCCAAACCCGAGAACACTTATTACTGGCCAAACAGGTATGCAGAGCCTGGGTAGGAGTGGAAAGAGGAAGGGTGGGCAGTTGGGCCACTTAGGACACCATCTCCCTCTTTTCCATCTACAGATTGGAGTAGAGCATGTTGTGGTGTATGTGAACAAGGCAGATGCTGTCCAGGACTCTGAGATGGTGGAGCTAGTCGAGCTGGAGATCCGGGAACTGCTCACTGAGTTTGGCTACAAAGGGGAGGAGACCCCGGTCATCGTAGGCTCTGCCCTCTGTGCCCTTGAGGTGAAGGCAGAGTCAGGCAGGGGCTGCTTTGGCAGAGAATGGGGCTGGATAGGCATCCGGAGCTGTGCTCTGAGTCTGGGGAGTGGTTCTTAGTAAGCAGAATGGAAACTTCAGTCCTGTCATACCCCTCCCCAACCCCTTCCAGCAACGTGACCCTGAGCTAGGACTGAAGTCTGTGCAGAAGCTGCTGGATGCTGTGGACACTCACATCCCGGTGCCCACCCGGGATCTGGAGAAGCCTTTCCTGCTGCCTGTAGAGTCAGTTTACTCTATCCCTGGTGAGAACTGTGCTCATTTGCATTCTTTCCTAGCAAGAGCCTTGCCCATGGTCCCTGATGTCCTTTCTTGTTCCTTCCCAGGCCGGGGCACGGTGGTGACAGGTACTCTAGAACGTGGGATTTTGAAGAAGGGAGATGACTGTGAGTTCCTGGGACATAACAAGAACATTCGCACTGTGGTAACAGGTATAGGAAGAAAGCCTTGAGAACCAGGGGCTGGCTCCAGGATGACATCTTCCCTTCTCTTGTGCCTTCCCTCTGCCCCAGACCATCCTCCCTTGTCTCTTGTTCCTCCTAGGCATTGAGATGTTCCACAAGAGCCTGGATAGGGCAGAGGCAGGTGATAATCTTGGGGCCCTGGTTCGAGGCTTGAAGAGGGAGGACCTGAGACGTGGCTTGGTTATGGCCAAACCAGGTTCCATCCAGCCCCACCAGAAGGTGGAGGCACAGGTGAGGGCTCCAGGTGATGGTGGACAGGGCTGACTGAGACATTGTCCCCTAGAGAGGCAGTGCTTCTAGCCATTTGCTCTCTTTTCCAGGTTTACATCCTCAGCAAAGAGGAAGGTGGTCGCCACAAGCCCTTCGTATCCCACTTCATGCCTGTCATGTTCTCCCTGACTTGGGACATGGCCTGTCGTGTCATCTTGCCTCCAGGGAAGGTATGGTGGACATAGGGATGTGAAGGAGCACTCTTCATATTAGGTCTGCCTCACAAAGATGTGACAATATGGGTGACTTTTCCTTGGGTGAAGAGAGGCTGGCTGATGATGTAGATGAAACTAGTGATGGGTCTGGACCAATGGATTTTGGAGAAGTGGGTCCTCATCCAGTTATTTCCTAGGCTGAAGTACATTAAAAACTTAGCTATATTAGCATTTACCCAGAAAGACTTCTCAGAAAAGGATATTTCTTCTTGAGTTTCACTATACATAGGGCTTAGAGAAGTCTGTGACTAAGGAACCTGCATAACCCAAAATTTCAAATTTTCCCTCAATATACCTTAGGAACAAACACTGATCAGTGGTCCTTTTATTGCCTTTGCATATCCTGGCAGCTGGGATGCTGTCCCCAGAAAGAATAATCATCCTACTGCATTTTCCATAATCTTTCACCTTGGTAGCCAGCAGACAGTTGGAAGAAAGACATCATCCTGAGGGCCACATATCCCTGTTTCTGCCCCCTCCAGGAGCTTGCTATGCCTGGGGAGGACGTGAAGCTTACCCTAATCTTGCGGCAACCAATGATCTTAGAAAAAGGCCAGCGTTTTACTCTGCGAGATGGCAACCGGACCATTGGCACTGGCCTCGTGACTGACACACCAGCCATGACTGAAGAGGACAAGAACATCAAGTGGAGCTGAGTCTGGACCTCTGCTCAGACTCTTGTGTTCAGGGCTGTGCTGGCCAGTGTTCTCTCCTGCTTCTCATGCCCCCTTCCCAGGGCATAGGCTGCAACTAGACTGATACTTACCCTGGCCAGAGGGGGCCACATGGCCTGCCAGGTGAGGTAGGTCAATAAACTGTTCTGTGAATAGTAAGCTAGCCTGGGTTTTGTGTCCTTTGTGTAAATTGGAAGGATGGGGGAGTATTAAAGGAGCCGGAAGCCCAGGAGGTACCCTGGAGCCATTTTAACTGTAAGTTCTCTCTCTAGCCTCAGTTCATCTCAATGCAAGCTCCTCTTTTTAAAGCTGTCAGCATTGCTGTGGCAACTTGAGAGAAGCCAATGGATTGAAAGCTAGTCTTGTGAGCATTGTATGCTACAATAGAGTATTACTGGGTAATTTTGGGGGGAGGTAGTGGGAAAGGATTTATCATTTGGAGCCAGCATGGGCTCAGCATTTAATGTCTATCTTGTTTAAGCTCTGATACTGGGGACTGTATTTTACCTCTAGAACCAGCACCTGGCACATAAGAGGTGCTTGATTAACACATAATCTGTGCTTAATGGGTTATCACCATCACTAATTCCAAACAGGCTTGAGAAGTTGTAGAATGAAGGTTTCACTTTCAATGTTTGAGATTTAAAAAGAAAAATACTATTTATCACTCGGAATAAAATACTGAGATTTAAAATATATATGAATTTTTTATTGATTTCAGAGAGAGGGAGAGAGAGAGAAACATCAACGATGAGTCATTGATCGGCTGCCTCCTGCACACTCACCACTGGGGATCGAGCCCACAACCCGGGCATGTGCCCTGACTGGGGATTGAACAGCAACCTCCTGGATCATAGGTTGATGCTCAGCCTCTAAGCCATGCCGGCTAGGCTAAAATACTGAGATTTTTAAAAACTTGAAGCCCTGGCTGGGTATAAGTGGGTTAGAGCATCATCCCGATACACCAAGGTGGCAGGTTCAGTCCCTGGTCAGGGTACATAAAAGAATCAACCAATGAATGCATAACTAAGTGGAACAACAAATCGGTTTCTCAAATCAATACATTTAAAAAGAAAAAAACAAAACAAACTTGAACCGACTAACCAGGATGCTGACTCGAAACAAAAAAAGGTAACATTCAGCAGGGATTAATGAGCACACCTTTTAAACTTGGATCCTGACAGTGAGTTTATTTCAGACATCCTACTGACAAGCAGCCCTGAGGGGAGGCTCTCCAATGCGAGCGCCGTTTTGAGGAACTCAGAACCCGATCTGACTCCAGAGAAGAGGGTCAAGGGAAGGAGAACTTAGAAACTTAGCACAGGTTTACTTGTTTTACCCTTAATGTCCAAGGAGAGGCTGAAAGGTTTCCCAGAGATTCCTGGCTGGGGTATAAGCTTCCTTCCAACTTTGAAGATTTCTGCTCTTAGGAGTAAGATAAGTTAAAACCAATCTGCAATTCTTCCTTATAGTATCAAAAGGACTACTAGGGCCCTGGCTGGTGTTGCTCAGTGGTTGAGTGTCCCATGCACCAAAAGGTCAGGTTCAGTTCCTGGTCAGGGCACATTCCCAGGTTGGGGGTTTGGTCCCTGGTTGGGGTGCATATGGGAGGCAACTGATGTTTCCCTCTAAAATCAATAAAAACATTTAAAAAAAAGTATTATTAGGTAACACCTGTAGTTTACATTGCTCACAGTACTAGAGACCTGTCTCTTCATCTGCACTTCCAATATCCTCAGCCCAGTTTCCATCACTGCCCCCCAACCCCAATTGACATATCCTGGAGAGCTCTTTAATTTGGGACCTCAAAACCTTCCCTCCCTCCCCAACCCCATGTCCACCAGGTTTCAGATTCCGTATCTAATCTTCATTCTTCCTGTCCCAGTCTCAACCAATTTTCTCTGGCTGTTCAAAGCTGACATCCCCCTGCCTACAACTGAACACCAGTCCCATCCTTACAATCCCCTAAGGATAAAATCTCCATTTCACAGACAAATCGAAGGCTGTCAAAGGAACAATTCCAACTGCTTGGAACAAAAACCCCCAAAACCTCTGACGTGATTTCTATATCCCATGCTTGGCTCTTGTCCTACTGACACACCCTAGTTTAGCTCCAGCTCCCCATAACTTGGCTCCTCAATCCAGCCCTCTTCTTCCACTGCAGACTCATCTTTATTATTAAATTCCATCTTTATTGAAATCCTCACCCGAAAATATTTTTTCCATTGCTTTTCAGAGAGGGGAAGAGGGAGAGAAACATCAATGTGAGCCACAATGATTGGTTGCCTCCTGCATGCTGGGGATCGAGCCTGCAACTGAAATATGTGCCTTTGGCTGGAATTAAACCTGGTGCCCTTCAGTCCACAGGCCGATGCTCTAACTACTGAGCAAAACTGGCTAGGGCAGCCTGATCTTTATAGGTCTCATCCATACCCAAGACCTCTCACCAGTCAGACCCCTTTTCCAGTGGCCACACACACTGAAGTGCTTTTCAGTGTAAAGCGGTAGACGTAATTTATGAGGACCAATTTTGAGGTGAGAAAAATCCCTGGGAGGTTGGGTGACCTGCGCAGCAGTCAGCCAGAAGGTCAGCATCCTCAGGCTGTATTGCTGTGCCACACCTGCCCCATCTTCAGAACCACATCACGTTATACTAAGACTGACAGCTACAATCTTACTCTATTCTCCAAAGAGGAAACTATAGGCAGGTTAAGTTAGTTTAAAATTTTATTTTTTTAAAATTTTTTTAATATTTTTATGTAATAAAAAGTAAAAGTCCTTGTCCAACCATCCTCGTGGGGCATGTGTCTCTCACGCAGGTCACTCAAGTTAATTGGGAAGAAAGAACAGGGGGCCCAAGTCTGACATTATAAATAATAGAAAATAAAAGATCTTCCGTCTCCAGAGGGGGTTAAGAGGATGGGAGGGCAAGATGGGGTGGGGATGGGCAGGGGCAGAGCAGGAACCCCCCCCACCCCCACTGGACCCTGGCCCACCCACTTTGAGGCCTCTCCCATTCAAGGTGCTTGGCAGGAATTCCCCAGCTCCCCCGGGGGAAAGGGGGGATTGGAGGGCTGGGACTGGTCCGAGCTGCTGGGGGAAGAGACATAGATCACTCTTCCCTCCACTCATGGAGGTCTCAGGTCGCGGCCAGGACAATCTTCAGTTCCCCGGGGGGTGGAAGGGGAGCTGCTGGGAGGGATGAGATTGAACTGGTTGGAGGGGAAAGAGAAGAGAGCAGGAGCATTAGAACCCAAGCAGCTGTCCCTTCATCCAATGCCGTCCAGTGTGGGGTGTGGGGGGAGTGTTTGGGTAGGAGCGGCCTCCTCAAGGTGTCTCATGGGGCTGTCAGAAGCACAGATCAAACACTGTTTCCCAGTGAGCCAGAGCCCTTACTTGTGTGCCCAGCTCAGCCCCCCACACCCCAGCCTGGCCCTGTCTGCTGCGCTGACCTTACCTCGGCTAAGTCAGGAGACAGTCGGGGTCACTGAGAGCTGGGGAGGCAGTGGGGAGGGGGGCTGCTGGATCACAACTGAGCGAGGACGGAGGGAAGCAAAGGACAGAGCCAGGAGCAAGCCCCTGGCGGCGGCGACTGTGGCTTCTGCCCACCCTACATACTTCACAGACAGGTGCAGGTCGGCGGGCGCCCTGTGGGACAGCCCTGCCTCCAAGACCCCTCACTCCCCACCCAGAACCCGTGCATCCTGCCCCACCTGCAGCCCATCAGCTCTTCCATGCCAAATTCCCCCAGCTAACGAGAACTCACGAATCCTGTCATCGGCTCCTCCTGGAAATCCAGGCGCCTGGCCAGGCTGCTCACCTTGGGGGTGTCCGATGTAGGGGTAGGGTGAGGGTGTGGAAGCTGAGAGTGCAGGCACCCCACTCTGGGGCACCGCGCCTTGGGGGGGCCCCCCATGGCTCTGGGGTGGGTGCAGCAGCATCACCTGGGGCGGGTGGGGAGCCCCAGGGTGAGGGGGCGGGGCTGCTGTGATTCCAGTTTGGACATGGGCCTGCAGAAAACAGAAAGTAGTTGGGAGCACCACAGAAGATTGACACAGGCCCTGAGAATCCTAGTATCCAGAGTACTAAGTAAAGGTGGCACCAGGGACTCAGGAATGGGACAGCCTCAGGGCGCAGGTCCTTCTGGCAAAGCAGACTCAAACAAAGCAGGTCTCTTGAGCTCTTACCTGGGTAACATGGGCCATATTGGTGAAGCCGTGGGGAAGCTGCTGGTGGGCATGGATGGCATACACAGCGGCTGGTTGGGGGAAGCTGCTCTGAGGGGACTGGGCAGAAGGTCCCGGTGGCAGAGAAGGCGGCGTGCCTGTCAGGGCCCCTGGGTGGTACAGATTCTGCTGTGGCTGTCCACTGCCCAGGTGTGGGGCCTGCCCCGCCTGGTGCTGTCAGGGGAGAGGGTAAGGATGAGTGCCAATCACTCCTCTGGTACCCAGCCTTCTACCCACTGACCCCGATCCTCCCTGCTGGGGAAATACCCCAGGCTATACTGCTCTCTTTGCCACCCAACTCCTGCCCCAACCACTCAGATCCCCCATGGCAGGCACCTGGACAGGACTGGGGGCCGCATGCTGGGACTGTGGCTGGCTCCCAGTAGGCGTGGTGGCCGGCTGCGGCTGGTGGGCATGGAGCTGCGTGGCATGGTGTGGATAGGACTGGTGAACAGTGGCTACAGATGGAAGGAGAGAATCAGTGCTGAGCATATTGAAGGGGGCTGAGGAGCACAGCCTGGAGGGAGAGGGTCCAGCAGAACTCACCATAAAGGGCTTGGGGGGTGGGCTGCTCTGCTGAAGGGTATTGAGGGGTAGAGGACGACACAATGGCCTGGGGATGGCTCCCCGATGTCAGCATGCGTGGGTTGCTTTGAAGCATGGGGGCAAACACGGGCTGGAGTGGCAAAGAGAAATGGTCAGCTCAGCACAGGACTTGGAAGGCATAACCTCTGCACAGCACTGTTCCAGCCTTATCACAACTATCTTGTTGAACACTCATAATAACCTAACTACACAGATGCTACTTTATCGACACTTGAATAAAGGCTTGGATGGTGATTGTTTTTTTATAATTTTTATTCTATTTGTTTGGGACTTGGGTCTTTAGGTGCCTTGCAACAGGTCCTACCAGAGCCAGGACTGAATCCCAAGTCTGACACCACCACCCAGAATACTGCCTGCTTCTCTCACCCAGCTCCTCTATATCTGGAAGATAGAGAAGATGGGCTCTCGAGCAGAGCCTCTGTACCCCCATGTCCTGTGCTTTAGTCACCTGTGAGGGATAGTGGGCCATGGGCTGCATCATGGCGGGCTGGCCTGGGAACTGCTGTGGGTTGTAGGGGATGTAGGAAGAGTAAGGTGTGGCAGCCACCAGAGGTGGGCCAGCAGCAGTGGCAGCCTGCATCATCGGAGGGGCGGAGGCTGGCTGGTGTTGGTCCGAGCGCTGGGGAGGCAGGGAGCCTGGGGGTGGGAGGAAAATAGTGCAAAGCTCAAGCTCCATCTGCCAGGAGGCACTGGGCAGCCCCAACTGCCCCTCCCAACCCTGCTCACCTTTTGCTCCCCGGTACTTGCCCTGCTGTCCAGGCACTGAGTTGGATACAGGATATGGATACATCTGAGGTGCCTAGGGACCGGAACACAGATGAGGCTGAATGATTTGCTTATAAATGCCCAGAATAGGCTTGACCTGGTCCCTCAGTCAGCTCAACCAAACCTCTTAACCTGGGCCCACCCAAGCCTCTTCTCTTACCTGAACAGCTGGTCCCATGTGGATCTGAGGTATGTAGGAAATGTACTGAGGGCTATATAGCCCACTCTGGCCTGCTGTCAGCACCGGGATGGAGGGAGTAGAATGAGTCCGAGGCCCCGGAGAAGTTGGAGTACTGGTGGATTTATTCTTTAAGAGACAAGGGAGGACATGTATAAAATCTCTTACAATTTTTCTATTACCCACAGCAATTCCACTGCCTACACAGCAACAGCATTTGCAGAAGGAGTGTTTGTGCCAAACACATTCTACTGTTTTGATTAAGCCTCCCATCAACCCTAAACATGAACACACTCAAATTATAGGTGACAAAACTGAGACAGAGAGGTAGGTTAAGTGGCTTGTCCAAGATCACAAAGCTTGTAAATAAATACAGGGGTTTAAGCTAAGTCAGTGGGCTGAATTAAGCTCATGCTCATAACTACCACACTCAGATACTCCCTGAGCCAAATGCTAAGTATTAGAGAGAAACCCATAAATACTTGTCAGACACATAATAATCGCTTGCCACCCAGCCATGAAACTTGTCTGTTTTCCCCAAACCAGCCCAACTGCTGCCATCCCCACACTTTCACAATGTGTCCTCTTACTGCCCGGTGTCAAGTGCTCTCCCTCCAGTGTTTTTATCCCATTCCCAAGTCTCCTTTATGGAAGATGTTACCCCATCTCACCACAGACAACAGAGGCTTTGCTGGATTGAACTCCTTGGCATTGGGGTTCAACGTTGACTTCTTCACTTGTCTATGAGAGAAAAACAAAGTAAACCCTCCTGGCTTGTCCCTCATCATCCGACACCCACCCATCTCCCACCGCACTCACTCGGTAACAGGGCCCTCATCCTTGTCATCTCCCTTGATGAGGCCCACTGGGGGGCTGCCAGTTTGGCTTGGGCAGGGTGGTGGAGGCTGATCCAGCCCCTCAGTGCCTCCTGCGGGTGGCAGGGGCGGTTTGTCCTCCTTATCCAATATGGACTCTGCCTTGGAGACTGGGGACGCCATGGGCTCTGAAGTCAGTAGACCATCAACCTCCTTCTCCTTCCCTTTGGCCTCCTCCTTTAAGATCCGGGGAGGAAAAGGGTCCAGACTGGTCTCAGGAGAGCTACTGGGCTGAAGCTGGAAGGAGAATCACACATATGACACTGGTCCAGACCCAAAGCCCTGCTTCCTTCTTTCATCCTTACTCTTCTCTCTTCTATTCCTAGTCCCGTGCCGCTTCCTTAAGCCCGCCAGACCCACTTCACCTCCACCCTGTTAACATCCTAGCTCATTCTCATGCTTCTCACCTTAAACTGGGCCCCAAACTTCCTCAGTTCTTCTAGCTGAAAGCGTTTCTGTTCATTCTGAAGGCCAGGGACTATGAGAAACAATGAAAAAGGAGAAAATATACATTTCTTTTATCAAAAGTGGCGACATAATACCAGTAGCCCACAGTACAAAAACCTAAAAACCAGAAGAGCTCTTGAGACTCCTGTAACAGGAATTAGGATCAAAGGTCTAACAGGCATTGTTTTTGAATTCCAACAACTTTCCTAGCTGAAATGTCCTCCTAATCAAAGGAGCATTAGACTTTGGCAGGAAAAAACAATCCTCACCTTTCCCAGATATCCGGGACAGCTCCTGGGATTCCAGAGTTCTTCCAGGTTCCTTGGTCACAGGTTCTTTTCCTGAGAAAGAGGAGATAGACGCCTGAAGGTCTTTCTGCCCAAAAACACCCATCACATTGTCCACAGTCCTGAACCATCTTGGCTCTTACCATCTGTGGGGGCCAGTGAGACCTTTGGAGAAGCTGGAGAAATGGAGCCTACTCCAGGGTCCACAACTGAAGTCACAGGGATGGAAGCTGAGGAGGTCGGTACTGCCGAGCCAATGGGAGGCTCAGGACAGGAAGCTGAGACTGGGGCAGGGGCAGCCGACTTGGGAGAGCGCGGGGGGTACATCCGACCCACTGGAAGAAAAGGGAAAGCTGCACAATGGTTACTACTGGTCATTTAGCAATGGGTACAAAGGACTTACTAAAAACACCAAGAGAAGTTTATCTACTTATACACAGGTTCACAAACCTAAAGGCCTAGAACAGCAAAGCAGGTAACAAACAGGTAAAATGGGTCTCATGGGCACCATGAACGACTTTAAGGGGCAGTCATGACTCAGTTCCAACCAACTGGAGCTATGCAGTAAGACAGGTCAGTGTTGGCAAAACTTCCTAAATGTCAACAGAAATTGCCAACTATGATTTCTTCTGTTTTAAAATGTTGGCAACTAATTTAAACAGTGTTATCTGCTAGCCAGACACAGCCATAAATCACTATGTTGGGGATTCTGCACAGGGTAATTGAAAAATTCTTTACTAAAATGCATAAACCCAAACCTTTCAAAATGCTTTTCACATCTTGAAACTGTCTCCTACCCCAGCATCTCAACAACTGACACTATTCATCTTTCTACAAATTCCTATCCATTTCCTTCATGTAATACTGCTGAAATTTTACCTGCAGGAGGAGATGGAACAGAAGCTTCTCCAGAAGGCCTACTGCTGGGTGAAGACAGAGTCTTGGCACCTCTCACAGGCCGCTGTGCCTTAGGGGACATGCGGGAAGGGCCTATTTTTTTTTAAAGGTGAGAAAAAAAGAGGGAGAGTACCTGCTATTACATGACCACCAATCCATCATCCTTCCAACCCATCTAAACCCTTTCGATTATCCTTCCCTCCTTCTTACCGTTCCCTTCCCTGTCCCCCGCACAAGTCTGCTTTATAACTCACCTCCATTAATACCACGTGTCTCAGAACCTGGGCCAGGGCTGCTATTGTCAAGATGGTGAGGGCCACGGGGTGGCAAAGAGCTAAGGCCAGGTCGGCCACCCCGAGAACTACTGCATCGAACTCCTCCCCGGGGACCTTCCCGAACTCGCTGGGGTAGAGGGATATACTTTCCTTCCCTGGGGGAGGGAGGGGGGGGAAGAGTTCAAATGAGATCAAGTAGCCACAAAATCCACACATTCAGGAAAGATGAAGCCCTTCCTCCTAAAGTCCACCTTCCTACACACACATACTCACTCACTCTGCCTTGCTCTAGGCTTTTTGCACTATCCCACTTGAAGATCTGTCCTGGTTAAATGTTCTGTGGCTACAGGCTTATGACCTTATGTTGTGTTGACCCTGACCAACCAGGCTAATACTCGACAATTCTACCACTCCTGACCTATAAGAAAAGTACTATCACATTGTAGGTCAAGGTGCATCTTTTACAAGATACAGATCATCCTGTAGAGTTTGATTCTACTTTCACAAAGGGAGGAATAAGAGATGCATATGGATGAATATGCAGAGAACAAAGACAAACTATCAAAATTCTGAAACAAAAATCTTCTAACTTTAGTCTTGTTACTATGGGGAAATTAGATTTCAATCTCCTAAAATAACAATTGGGAACAACTACTTATTAACCTACATCTCATATGGCTGTAAGGCTTAAACAAGAGTGTACAAAACTCTTGGCCCATACAGTGAATCCCAAACATACCGGGCCGCCCTCAGCAATTACCTAGATGCCAAGCTGGGGCTCTCCCGTCCTGAACCCTGCCGCTGGACGGCACTGTGCTTCTCTTCCTCAGTGCGTCCATCATCATTCTCCATGGCAATCCGCAGGCGGTACTGGGGGCTCGATTCAATCTCCCGAGCCAGTTGGGCTGCACGCAGCTCTCGCTGACGAAACTCTTCTGAGTTGTCCTTCTCTAAGGGCACCCTGAGAGGACCACCACCATCCCAATGCCAGGGGACAAAAGGGAAAAAAAAACACATTTCTATCAGTCCTATCACGGGCTCAAGTATGTGGGTATTTAACCCCTTCAACAACTTGGCAAATATAATGGGCATCTACTAGGTCCCAGGCAGAGCAGCAAGGTATCTCTGTTTCTGGAGAACACTTAAGACACATGTTTAAAGTACATTCTATTCTAAGTTATAGAGAAAAAGTATGGACAAGTGGACAAGCAGTTAATTCTACCCATGAGGTGGCCTGGAATCAAGATTAAAAGAAAACCTTTGAGAGCAGTTCACAAGGCACAACAAGAGTGAAGTGATCTGAACACCCAGAAAAGCATGAACAAAAGCTATGTTCCACCTAGAGACTTGCTCCTCTATTGGTGACCCTATGCCTCAAACTGCACCACACGGGGAGTACACCAAGACACTCACGTGTAAGACGAGAGGCTGCTATCATACGTGGTCTTTACACCATAGTTCTCCTCATTGAACTTGAACATTTCATTGGGGTCCCATCCATTGGACTAGGGAGAGAGGCAAAATGTTTTAAAACCCAGCAAGGAAAGCAACAACGGCCTATCATTCTCCATCAGGCTGAAAAAGTTAAAAATCTGACCATACTATAAGTGGAGAAACTGGAACACTGCTGATGAGAATATCAACTAGAACTACCAATTGCAGCACAAGCTGACAATAACTAGTACAACTGAAGTTTTAAGACCTAAGAAATCCATTTCCAGGTTTATATCCCAGAGAAATTCTGGCATATGTTCATGTTCTAAATCCAGGTTTATACCCCAGAGAAATTCTGGCATATGTGCATGTTCTAAAAATACAATAAGGCAGTAACTGTAATGGCAAAGAAAGCACAAATCAGTAAGGAAAGAGATAAATACAATTTAGTGGGTATACATAGATGAGTACATAAGTAGAACAGTACACAATAGCTAAAAACAATAAACTAGATCTATGGAGCAACATGAAACATTCAAAACCAGACAGAAAAAGTAAGTTGTGCAATTTGAACAGCAAAATAATTCATTCACTCATGAGAAATTTTAAATGATTCAAAGTACAGTAGCTGTTTATCAGAAGGTAAATGAGCCTACAAAGCACTCACTCTTGCCCATACTTTTTCTTACATTGAAAAAAAAAAATGACTTGAAGAAAACATTAAGAATTGTCAATCACAAATGGTGGGAGAACAAGTATTTTTGTTTTGTTATTTTCTATACTTTTCCATTTGGAATCTGTCACAAATAGGCAAGAGTAAATGATTTTCCTGCCTCCCTCCCCAGAAGCAACTTGGTTCCAAGAATGATGTCGGTGTCAATAACCCACACTCTGGCAGCACAGCTGCCCAGCTTTAAGGGTCTCGGGGAATCAGACTGTACCATGTCAGACTCTAGGTCGTAGTCATCACTGTTGCTGTCACCGCCCTCCCAGCGCTGAAGCACCTTCTCTTTGTGTTCCCCATTCACCTTCGAATTCATGGCAATGGCAGAATCAGTGAACTTGTCTGTGGGTGCAGAGTTGAAGATCAGAAATTGAGTGATATTTCAAAGGCTTTTTTCCAAGACCTCTTCCCTGCACACAGTTGTTGACAAGCATAGAAAAGTTTGTGTGTGCCAGGGGTTGGGGGTGGGCAGGCACAGTATAAAGACTCTCATCTTAATAGTTCATAAACAGCAAGGAGTTGAAAACAAAGCAAATAAAATAGGAAAAACAACATATCAAGACACATTCTCAAAAAAATCCAGCCACTGTCCTCAGAAAAAAAAGATGGTAAAGTCAGAGGTTATGGGAGCTAACCAAGCATCATGTAACTGCTCTCAGCTGTCTACTCAGAAAGTGGGTTTTACAAAAGAGCATGGCACAATACCTTTAGTGGCATAATTGAAGTCAACATTTCGGAAATGGACAAGCATGACATCACTTGGCTTAAACACCATGGTGTCCACAATGTCTTCCCGACGAGGGCCACCTACTGGCTCAGATGCTTTCCTGTGCACAGCGTCTACTGCCAGTTCAAACTAAAAAAAAGCCCCATTTCCCAACACCCAAGGGTTAGTATCAAGAAACATGAAGGTAAAAGTATGACTACTTTTCCCTTAACTTTTTAAAACTTTTCCCAACATCGTGTATGACATCTTCTCAATATCAGCCACAGGACTTAGCAAAAGTCCCCAAATTAAAATTTTATGTTTTAAAATTTAAGCATTTTTACATTAAAGTATACAGCACTCAAATTTCAGACCCATGTCTTTCACTGCTTGCAGCACTACTCCAGCCCAAGCCTATGGAAATAAGTAACAGTCACAATGGCGTCCAACACCACTCAATTTACATCTTTAATGAGCCTACGTCATTCTCCTTCCTTCCAGACAACTCCAAAAATGATTTGAGTACACTGACCTTTGAACTCAGTGTCTTGAAGATACCTTCATAGGTGGTACCATTCTTAACCTTTACATCACAAGTGGAGCCCTGGGAGAATGGGAAATAAAAGTGTCTTCGGCAAATAGATGCATGACATCGCTCAAACAACCCAGAGGTTAGGTACCCACTTACCACAACAGCTGTAAGGAAATGCAGCATTCTGGAATTGTTGTAGACACCCTCAAATACCTGTCAGTAACATAGGAGGGAGAAATAGCCAGTCAACATCTCACATACCTTCTAAAAGGTCACACTCCACATACACACACCTTGTAATGTGCTGGGCCCCGGCCCTTCTGAGCCCACCTGACTATTTCTGCATCTAATCTGTCCTATATTCCTACATATGTGTCCTCTAGGTCTCTGTACCTTTGCGGGAGGAGGGGGATAACTCACCGGTGACTGTGGGGGTCCCTTTCCTGTGCTTTGTCCCCTATAAAGGAAACAAAAAACTAGTTATTTAAATCTGTTCAATCCCTCTTACACAATTAATTTCAAAAGACTTGGTATCCTAGAACCACATACCATGGGAAAATGCTGATCTAAGCTACAATTAATCATAAGGTTATCAAACTCTCACCTTACAGGAGAAAAAGGCATAGGCATTGTAAACCACTAAACACATTTCCTCCAAATGCCAGTAAAACAGACTCAATCAACAACCATTGTCTCACTTTCTCCAAGGGGCCAGGACTACATGCTTCCAAGAAACCAATGCTACAGTATTCGATAACTAATAACCCATCTCAGACGTAAAGTGGAAGCTCAGGTAGCACAGGTTCGTAAGTACCTAGCTCAGGCACGTCACCTCCCAAACAGAAAAGACAATCATTTTCAGAGCCTTAAGCCCCATCCCTGAGAGGAGGGTAGTCACTCTACAACACCCCCCCTCGACCTCTTTACTCATTCAGCCAGTTACCCACTCTGAGAGGGGTCGTCAATCGCCCGATAACCCCGCTCCTCGCTGGCTGATGTAACCGGCGATTGAGGAGGGTGATGAGGGGGCCGTTGGCGGGGCTGGGGGACAGCGCAGCCGCAAAAGGCATCCACCGGGAGGCCTCGCCCGGTCTGCGCCTGCGCACTAAGACCCACGGGCCTCTTCAAAATACCCCCTCCCGCGATCAGAACCCACTGCGCCTGCGTGTACTGCCACGCTCAGTTCCATTAACCCAAACACAGAAAAAACCAAGCAGAGTGTCTTCTTTTCAACCATGAACCCCTTCACGCACACTCTCAACCACTGCCCTAGGTTACCCGCGGCTCGAACGCCCCGGTCTTAAGACAGAGCATCCACGCGCACGTACGTAAAGGGCGCGCGCGCTCTGGAGGTTCCCGGGGCCGCAGTCCTCCCAGTGGTCTCTCCTTCCGCCCCCCCGCCCACTCCGCTCCCCTCCTACTGGCCAGGCCGGGAAGGGGGAGGTGGCAACCCGCTCCAAGTCCCTCCCTCCCCATTGGCCAGACTGTGGGCTGCGCGCCCCCCTCCATTGGCTACGGCCCGGACCCCTTCCCGTAGCCGACTCCCCATTGGCTGAAGTCGGGAACCGCGAGACCCTTCGCGGTAATGGAGCAGGGGACCCCGGTCACCTCTTCGCCCCCCCAACTCAGCGTTCAAACGGCGCTAGCGGGATGGGCCCCGCCTGCCTTTAAGGCCCAGGCCGCGAGCCGTAACTAAGCTGAGAGCTGAGCATGGCCATTAAGTGTCCCGGTGGCTGCGGGGGGTACCCTTTCCCTCTGACCTGTTAGTACCTGAGTGGGCCCATCCCCAGCCGCATGGGGGGAGGGGGTTCCTCCGCCCCCTGGCGCCCCTCAAAGGTGGCCAGGCTAGGAGCCCGCCTTGAGTGGAACCCTGAAATCCCGGCTGCCGGGCCGGAACCGAGCCGCCGCCGCCCCACAGCCTGCGCTCCAGCGCACCGAAACCCAACCCTCCTCACCTGGCGCTGCCGATGGCCGCTGCCCCTGGCCTCTCCTGGTGTTGCTGCTGCTGTGGCTGCGGCGGCGGCGCCGCCAAGATGCCCTCGGCTCCCCGGCGGAGCCCGCTCCCGGCAGCAGATGCAGGCCCCAGGCAGGGGGAAGCGGCAGCGGGAGGCCCTGGGGGAGCCGAGGTGGAGGCCAGGGGGCCCGGGAGGCCACCGTTGGGAGGGCTGGTGCCCCCGGGAGGCCGGCGGGCCACGGCCTGTTGCGTGGGGGGCGGCTGCTGGGGCTGGGACGTCTGTTGTGGCGGCTGAGGCTTCAACATGATGGCAGCGTCCGGAAGGGGAATTAGGGGGAAGGGAGGGAGAGAGGAGGCCGGGGCTAGGCCCCCGCCGGAGAGCGCGGGAAGCGAAGGGGGTTGGGAAGCTGGGGA